GCATGAAAAGGAGACACACAAGCTTATATCTCCTCTGTCACTGTCAATGGTAATTCATTTACACGTGTACTGGAACAAAACAGGCATTCATTTGCAGCTGTTATGGAGACTGGAATAGTCAAGTCCAAGTTAACACTCAAATCTTTTTAGCTTTTTGGCCCAGCCGCTGACAGAAATAGCTGCTATATCTGTAGCTCGGTCATCAATGTTCATAATTCTAACTGTTTGTGTCTGCTTATTGGTGCTGGCTTTATCAGAGCTTCTTCACAGCTGCCTGTTACTTGAAATCAGGCCAGTGAAAGCAGAGAACATAAACAACAGAACCAAACAACGAGGCGAAAGATGATAAAATCCCCCACAGACCTGAGGACACTGCAGAGTTCACATTATACAGCAAATGTGATTTGTCAGTGTCTATAAAAACACTTATTTGTGAAGTGAATAAACTGAGTGGTGCAGTGTTGTTGGCGGAAATTTAGTGCCCTTTTTTATATGTGTATTGTGCACACTTGTTAATTATTTTTGTAATTTTTATTTTCGTGTTTAAAATCAAATAGGTAGTGGTTGTAGATGAGTTGGCATCTTTCATGCAAATTATGGGGGACCAAAGCAACCACTTTGCGACCAGTTTTACCCAGCAACCACTCAGCAGCCACTCAGCAACCAACCCGTCGGAGAGTATGCATTTTTCCCCAGCCTCCTGGAGTTTGCCAGTGGGGTTACTGACCAGTCTCTAGACCCGTGTGACTGAGGCCTAACTAAACTTGCTAGTGTTAGCTAAAAGAAATTCACCTGGATGACCTCAAAGCTTCAAAATAATGGTCCCCAAACCAATTGATGATGTCACAATAGCTAAAGCCAGTCTTTATGTACAGTTTAACTTGTGGTTGGCAAACCACATGGTGTCACTCAACAAGAATTAGAAGAAGTTAGGAGAGACTAACATCCTGAAAAAAGTGGAGGTGATGATATTTAAAACAATATGTGTGAACTCTGTAAGATACTTTATAGCACCAAATTAGTGCTTTACAAGTCACAGACAGTGCGTGATGAGTAGGGAACTCAGTGAGCTTTTACTGACCCAGAGCTTCCTCCTGCTGGCCCTGATGGGAATGTTTGAAGATGAAAAAGTGGTATCTAGGTGAATCTGTGGGAATCCTGTAGGGAAGTTCGTGGATTTCTGTAGGTTTAGTGTGAACCAGCTCGATGGTCTCTCTGTCTACATCCAGCCTCTGCAACACAACATACGCAAGAAAATGTAATTACTTTTGAGGGGTCAAGTCACGTGCAGTTAGTTTCACTGGCAAAAACACACCCTTAGATGTTGTTATCAAATATATGTTGTATACTTTTTACTGTATACATGTAAATATTCACTGTTTAATGAGCTATAAATGTTTTCTATGGGGGCTCACCAGCTGGATGTAGTTGATGCGTTTATGCTTGAGTTGCTGCAGAGCTCGTTTGGCCTCTTCTTGTAAAGGAAACGCAAGACCATGAAGAGTCTGTGCCCGTTTGTCCAAGCCAAACTCCATTGTTACCTTCAGGGGAGGGAAAAACATATTTGCACTGCTTCTTCCTCACATGAAATGCAACTAAATCAGCCAAAAAAACAAAATCAAAAAACACTCTATGTCTATGCCAAAGACTTCACAAACCCTTGCTCTCGCTGTCGGAGTCCCAATTCGTCTGCGTTCATCCTGCAGACAGAAGAAACAGTATTGAAATCACTATACAATAAAGTTTTAACATAAACATACTTGAATTCTTTTATCATAATGAAAACAAAATCAACGTACCCACACAACTTTATCCTGCAAGGAAAACACACACAGGATGAGCACAGATAACTCACATACCTATAAGAGTCATATAGCTTTGACAGCCTGTCTGTACCTCTGTGATTTTAATTCGTTGTAACTCCTGCTCAGCTGCTGTGAGAGGAGCTGGGGAGGAGCAGGAGGACCTGTGGCGAAGGTATCCCTGGAAACACACGTCTTCCTAGAAACACAGAGACACCAATGGGTTGGTTGTGAGTGGCAGGCCATCAGTTATTATGCAGGAAGGACCATACTGACCTCCACCGTCCCAAATACTTCGTCTTTGATGTGACCTCCTCCAAACTCTTTCTTCAGTGTGGCACGAGTCGCTGCATACACCATCTTCTGCCTCACCTGGAGAACACCAGGACAGACACAGCGACAAAAAACCTTCACACAGTTTTACTGGTTTTCTGTAGCAGTGGTTCTTTTAAAAAATAAAGTATTTGTGAGCGGGGGAAAACAGCCTGTATAACTGAGTTTGATTACAATTTGTAATTAAAGAAAAAGAAAAAAGAAATCTAGTACTAAACGGTGTCATTTTTATTGTCACGCAATAATAATAATAAAATGATATTATAATTGTTTTTTTCTAACAAGTTCTAGTTACATTGTTAGAAAAAGTAGTTTCTTATTCACTAGCAAGGGCAACTTGAGCAATCAAACTCTTTTCCATTGTTTTGATTTGATCAGAGTTAATGTGGGGGAGAGGTCCTGCACTAGCATGTGGGATTTGTTTTCTGTTTTCAGCTGTTTTTCTTACTGAACTAATTATAGTATAATTTGTTTAGGAATAATACATGATTTTTATTCTTATTATCATATTATTTTTAATTTGATCGTTTTATTAGCATTTTATTATTATTTTTATTATGATTAATTTTTAGAAATTAAAAAATGTTAAAAATTAAGATAAAAGTGAAACATTTCCTGCAGCACTCCAAAGTGATGGTGTGGGCAATATTGTACACATCCTGTCTATGTATGGAAGCTTGTTTCTGCCACTGGAAAAAATCACATCCATAAGACAAAATGTACCAACCTGTTATTATATAATAATTTTGGGATAATAACCTACAAATCTGACATATGTATGGCATTTCAAACAGTTATATTCAGCATGTGCAGAGGCTGTTTTTACATGAATTTGCTACAAAGTCTTTCTGTGCTCAATTTAAATTTGAGTTTAAGATGTTGGCTCACAACCACGATCACATTAAATCAGAAACTGTAAATGTAAATAAAATCTAAAGATGATTATTTGTATATATATATTTAAGTAAAAAGTAATAGTTTGATTTTATTCTCTAAAAAGAGAATAAAATCAGACAGCCTTTCTCTTACTTTTTAGATGATCTCTGAGCTGTTTTTTTTTTTTTGGTAAATTGCTGTTAACTATGTTAAATAAAACAGAATTGAAAACAAAATGTAAAAACAAACTAAAAAACATAATATCTCTGATTCTAATATTTTTGGAGAAGGCAACAACACATCAGATATGTTACAGATCTTAAATTATATTTAAAAAAAAAATCTATTTTCAATGTGTGTTCACCAACAATACTTTTATGTCAGTCTACAGTGATGGTTTCTTAAATGTGCTGCACACATACTGGTGATTGGTCAGGTGACCATGCGATGAAGATCCACTCATAACCCTGCGCGTTCTTGGAGTCCAGGCGGTAGAGGATGTAGCAAGGCTCCAGAGGCGTGAGCAAAGGAAGCAGGAACTGGTCATAATCCTTGTCCCAGCTCCGGGCTGGCTCTTTGTATGAATGTAGCACCAATTCCTCTGCAGAGAGAAAAGAGTGAACAAAGTCAAGATTTGGAGATGTTTAATGAAAGCTCACTTATATCAAATACTGTAAAATGCCACAAATATTCCATTTTTACCGTTTCTGATAATAATCTTCAGGATTCTGATGGCACCTCCCCTCGCTCGGGCCAAAAAATCTTTCAGCTCAGATGTTGCTTAAGTAACCAGATATAAGGCAGACAAGTCAAAACTGAGGATGGGTGGTTGAAAGCCAGTGAGACAGAGCTGACCAAGTGACAACCTGAAACTCTGCTTCAGGGAAAAAAAATTGATCCACTGCCAGATGGTCACACCATCACCTGCAGTGACTCAGAGAGCAAACATGTGCCCCCCAAGAATCACTGAAGGATGTGATCGACCATCGTCGATAAAGCCCCCAATTTGAAAAGCCTAAGGACAGAGTGTCACCACAGAAAACTCAAACTTTGGCTGTTTGTTATGTACTTTCCTTCTCTCTTGCCATGGTTACCAAACACAGCGCTCTCATTAATGATGCAAGATCAGGTGAGAAAGGTGAGAGAGGTTCGCTTCCGTCAGCCTGCCCACCTTCACGCTCCGATTACCAAAAGCCATAACACACATAAAAAGCAATGTATGCATGAGATTCAACTATAAGAGCCTGAATGTGCTAAACATTGTTAGCACTGACATCACAAAGGTGAAGAGAAGTTTTAAATGACTAAGAACAGATTAAAAATGTTAGCACATACTTTTATAATAACACAGGATAAATTAGCCTAAAGAAGCTAAGCGATCACTTGAGAACAATCTTTAATTTTTTTTGCAGAAAAACATCAGAAAATGTGAAGATGTGTTATTAGCAGCAGTGTAGCTCAGAGTCTGTTAATAAAAAAGCATTTAAAAAGCTTTTCAAACTGAGCTCAGGGACAAGTGGGATAAAGCTTAAATGCACAGTTTACATTTAAAAAAATAAACAACTTACCAATAATTCCAGTTTGGTGAGACATCTTTTGGCAGTAAGTTTTCACCGCTTCACACTCCTCTCATCCAACAAGGACCAGGTCCAGGTCACAGTGTGTCCTCGCTCTTCTTGCTCAGCAGGTAGGCTGAGCTGATGGCAGACGGAGGGACCCACGCGCACCAGTGACATAAACGCCTTGAGGGTGACTCAGGAGCTTCCTAACACTTGAAATACAATCTGCGGAACTGTGGCTGATGAGTAATAACGTGCCTGTCAGGGGATATGCCACCCTCACACTGATCTAAAACTCTTTGCGTATCGATGACCACAACTTTAATAGTCTCGGCGGGGGAGCGTCTCGCAGGTCACATACTGTCCTGTACTGTACCCTGCGGGAGGGCTCTGCAGAAACCCACCACACATGACGTTGGGGGTCAGTGCCGCATTTTCAGATGCTGCCACATGTAATGGCAACTGATAACTCGATCAAAGAGTGGCTGATCAGCTGCAGCAGACGCATGATCTCAAATTCCAGCCACCTGGTCACAGAAATGTGACACCAAGCAAGAATCTGACCGCAACACTTCAACATTGTTTCCTGGACTAAGAATTTAGAGGGTGGGGGCCTCAGGTGTTCACAGTATATTTTGATATGCAAGGTTAGCTCCGAAAACCAATGAAAGGGTGAACAGGGAGAATAGGGCAGCTACATAAGGCAACCTTAAGTGTTAAAACACGAGAATATGAGGTTTCTGATGAGAAGACTGAAGTTTCCTGAGGTGTAAACTGAAGAGATCCAAACATTAAGTGTCCCTGAATGGTCTGAACAAAAGGATGTAGGAACTAACAAGCTCACCAAAGTAACACACACACACACACACACACACACACACACACACACACACACACACACACACACACACACACACACACACACACACAGAGGTGGGTGAGAGAAATATAAGTGTGTACCTGTGAGGTTACCTGTGATGGGATCATCCATTATTCATTCAGTGGTGAGTACAGAACCCAAGCATCTATACATTATTTAACACAGCACCCCCCCCCCCCCCCCTCGACTTTGGAAAGACACACTTAATGTGCACAAAAAAAAATTACCCACTTATAAAAACAGAAAAAAGCTGAGTGCATCTCTCTCACAGAATAATAAAGTATGTACTCATAAAAAGCTCTGTGTATTTTACTGTATATAATGACATTTGTATATCTTATATAATTTTGCCTTTTTTGTACACAATTTTTCTTTTTTTTAGTTTTATTTTTCGAGTATGTCTCTAAATCTCTTTTTCTTCCTGTCCCTCATGTGGCTGAGTTTCCCCAGTGTGGGATTAATAACATCCAAAATTATTACTATAGTGCTGTATGATCACTGTTAAACTCTCCAATATGAACATCAAATAAACATCGACAGAAGGATTTAAAAAAAAAAGAAGAAAATTCATTTTTTATGTAATGCAATACTTAATTATAAAACAGCAAGTTTTGGGATCTTATTATTATTATTTCTATTATTACTCTTTACTTTAGAGAAAGTTTGATCTTGCTAGAAGTAAGAATTATTGGTAGTAGTATATAGAATTGTTTATATATCTTTCCAATTATGGTTTGATTATTTCTTGGTTTCATAAAAAAAACGGGGGCCAAGGACTCCTTAGAAAGGGAGAAAAGAACCATATCAGAGTTTTTGGTCCAAAGACAGTAAGAAAGAGAAGAGCAGACAGAATAACTTGGCATGGCTGTTTAACAACTCATTAAAGCAAATAACTAATCAGCTAATTCAATAGCAGCTACTGCATTCAAGCTCTTAGAGATGGTCAAGATGATCGGATCAACTTTTTACAACCAAGAGATGCAGAGAGCATCTCTGAACTCACAACACATTGAACCCTGAAGCACATGGGCTACAGCACCAGAAGACCACACCAGCTATCACTCTGGGAAGAAAAGAAAACTCTGAATATGGACTGAGGCTGCAATTCACTCAAATTCACCAAAATTGGTCGATAGAAGTTTGAAAAAGTCTTGTCTGGTTTGATTTCTGCTGTAACATTCATGCTACGTTGTGTCAGTGGTTCAGGCAGGTGATATAATGGTATGGTAGATATTTTCTGGACAAACTTTGGGCTTCTTATTGGCCCTTGTGTAAATGCCAAAGCCTGTGTGAGTATTGTTGCTGACCATGTCCATCCGTTTATGACAATAATTTACCCATCTCCTTCTTCCAGCAGAATAATGCACCATGTCATAGATCTCAAATATGCCTCAAAGTGGTTTCTTGAATATGACAGTGAGTTCACTGTACTCAGATGGCTTCCATAGTCACCTGATCTCAGTCCATTAGAGCATTGGGATGTGATGAAATGGGAGATTCTCTTCATGTATATGCAGTTAATACACTGCAGGAAAAGTTGGTCCAAGCTGGTACCAGCAAAGTGTACCTAATAAATTGTCTAATGAGATACATTTGTTCTTGTCAGATTGAGAGTTGTCCCTGCGTCTCTGCTGAGACATGAAGAGATGTATACATAGAAATACGACTAAAACACTGAAACAGACTTCAGTTCAGTCCATCCAGTTATGCACTCTTTCTGATAACATTTCCCCTTTTGAATTCAAATAAATAAAAAACTTTAACTATCACAGTTAACCAAAATACAATTTTTTCAGGGTTAAATTTCGTGTTGGACTGCATGCAGCAAATATTACTTTGTATTATTCATTTAAATATTCTCCCAAAATATAATGCTGTGAATGGGGGAATCCTTCAACTACACACACACATGTTTTCCTGACTTACATTAATAAGTTTACTTTGCTTGGAAATGAAGAACATATGTTTTTTAATAGCTTTTAAAAAACATTGTTAACTGTTGAGTCACTGTTGATTGTAGTGGTTATTTTTTAGTCCTGTAACTTTCAGTCAAGTAACAATACAGGAAACAATGACATTACTTCAGCAGTAGAAGGAGGGAGTCCCCTAAATCAGCGGTCCCCAACCCCTGAGCCACGGTACCGGCCCGTGAGTCGTTTGGTACCGGGCTTTCAGGGTTTTTATTGTTATTTTTTTTATAACTGGGTCTTTTCTCATGTGTTATGAATAAATCCTCTTTTTTTGGTACCGGTACTGGTTTTATTTTGTTGTATTTATTCGCGACACCTTAAAGGCCGGCCTGTGAAAATATTGTCAGACATATTATATATTTGACTTTTATAGTTTACTTTTAGTCGATTCCTTGAGGTTGTTTCCCTGTTCTCCTCTGTTACCAGCGTTTCTGTGTTAAATGTCTTGAGTGTTGTGTCCCTATTAATCCCCTCTTTATTTAAGGTCTTAGTTTACATGTGTGTTTTTTTGTAGGATCTTTTTGTGTGCCTGACTATGCAGAAGGTCATGAATTGTTGTGCACAAGTTGTTCACAGGAAAACCACAGCAGGTATCAGTACTTCATCAACACATACAGGTCACAAAGCTGCACAAATAGCAGCTTTTTGAAAGGTCCTGTGTGTGCATTATTAATATCACACACCACACGGGGAGTTAAATTAAGATGACTAGATGAGAATGTTTGTCTACTATTTGCAGACGAGCTGAGGTTAGCAGAATCTGTGGTTTGTTTTAAACGACTACTGAAAACTTATTTTTGTAGGTTAGCTGTTCTTTAATCTTTTGGTTCTCCTACTGTGAAATGTGTGCATATCAGTGTTTATGCAGGAATGAAAGAAAGAGCGCGTGTTTGACTCTGTGTTTGCATGTAGAAATATTTCTGATTTTAATGTGTTTTTATCCAAACTGCGAAGCTCTTTCTTTGCGTTTTAAAAAATTATGCATGAGGTGCAGGAGAATATTTATATGCTGGCTTTAAAGTGGTACTAAGCTCTCAATAATAAGGTATATTACCTGGAACAACTGTGGTAGTTTGTGTGTAATAAGCAGGAATCAGAGCTGCACAATGAAAGATTACATACTCTGCTATATTTGAAAGTAACATTTCCTACAACGTGAGCCAGTAAATATAAATGTCAGGTCGTTCCTCTGTTTCTGTGGAATCTGTATTACTTTTTGTCATATATTACCTGATGTATGCTTGACATTAGGTAATATATGAGTGTCTTTAACAGTTCAAACTTGGTTGGATCTAACCAGCTGTACTGCAGCCTCCTGTAGCCAAATGTGCCCTGCAAGAAAACTGTAGCAGCTGTGCAGTATTTGTAGCAACCAGCTACAGTACATTATTCTTC